ATACAGCACGATGTTTCTAAGGATCAGAGAATACTTGAATTGGTTTTCTTGAGTTGTTTAACAACATGTCAGAATATAGTCCAGCATGTGGCAGATATTTTGAAATCTTTTTAAGAAAAGAAAAAAACAGAATTAAGTGCAGCAGTTCCTACCAAAAGCAAAATCATATTACTTCTCAGACAGAAGAGTAAATATTTCCCTTAACTGTGGTGGCAGCTTTCTTGCAGTATTAGAGTCATGCAAAATGTATACAAATCATACAGCTATTTTCCTACTGAGCAGGCACCTGTAACACTGGCAAAACAACATTGTGGGTGAGCAGAAAAACTGATTACTGTTCCATAAAGGAAATTTAAGAGCTGATGCTAAAAGAATACAAGTGTTTTCTCCTCCTGTGTATAATCTTTACTTTTTTTTTTAACTGCAGAGAAGTGTCAGTTTGAAATGACTAACCCGCCCCTAAAGTAGAAAACTCAGGACATTTCTTCAAGATTCCTTTTATTTTTATTTATTTTTTTTACTCTGTTGTGTCCTATTTAGGGTCATTTAGACCACACACTTTCATAAAGGGAATCCTTCTCTTCAATTTATGGATCAAATGTATTCTCCAACAGATATTTGGAGGTATGATTTGCTCTCTAGCACTCTTCAGTCTTTATCTCTGACACATTCAAGGATGCTTAAATCCCACAAGAAAAAAGGCACACATTAATCTTCAAAAATGTGCCCTTACATGCCTTCCGAAAATTAAAATGGATGGTTTTGATAACTTTTCAGAATTGCAAAACCCTGAAAAATCATTTTGAATTGTTTTTTGAAAAAACAATTTTGAATCTGAAAAACATATAAATGAAAATAAACTAGAAAATTCAGACCGTACAAATTGTGCATGGCACCGAGTATTTCTTAGGAGACACGAAGCACTCTCAGCTTCCCTGAGCAGTTGCCATTAGGAATCAAAAGCACCCTGCAGCTTGGTGGATATAACGTGGGATGTCTATATACACATATACTCAGTTCAGCGAGTTATAGAACAACAAATTTTGAAGGCTTGTAGGATCTTAATAAAATAGTCTTCATTTTAAACCAGTCCTGTGCAGTTAAAAGAACAAACAGATGCAGCCTGAGGCTCATCAGTTCATTTTTTTTCCCTTTTCTATTGTTTTAAAAAGCACCTACTTAGAATTCATTTTTAATCCTAAAATATTAGCAGAAAAAGAAATGTTTCATTTGATTTTGTCTCCTTATTTTCATTATCAGCATAGATGTTTACTTATGCATGCTGTCATCCTCCCACATATATTTAATCAGATATAAAAACTAAGCTCTCTGGATGCCCAAACTTTGTTTTACTTCAGGGCAAAAGCCTTTGTATTCTTTGCACTGAAATGAAAATTTCTGAAGTTATTTCATGGCAACTGCTCTGAAAATGCTGTAGTGTTAAAAAAAAAAATAATCTGAACTGTACAGCATGTTCAAAACTTGCCAGATGCCTGGCATCTCCAAATCTCAGTATCTCCTATTCGGAAACAAACCCCGTTTCCTGCTTTCTTGGATACACAAACATGAAAGAAATGATATTTAAAAAATCATATTATTACAGAACCTACAAAAAACCCAAAACAGTTTAAATGCTGTTGATTTGTCTTATACTGCATTGAAAGTTGCCCAAGAGCATAAAAACCTATGGTTAAAATTACAAGAAGAGATGAAAAAATGAGTATCAATCAGTGTCTTACCATACTATTAACAGTTTATACCAACTGCGCATATACATATAATTAGTGCACAACAGCATTCTCCCTTCTCTATGTTTATCCTTCAGAAACTTCTACTGTAATTCATCTTCTCAGTCGAGGGCTAATATGGCTTTAAGCAGTACACTTAGTAGGAATAACTGAAGATAATCCCCTTTTGACTGGTACTAGCTTTTATGATTCAAACAAAATAAATACAGCAAACAAAAGATGGAAAAATCACAAGCAACTGACCCAAATTGGAGTTTAAGTAAAAGTTGCTGTTTGAACTGGTAATCATGATTCATTAGATTAACAGAACTTCTCCCCCCACCTTAGTTTCTGGAGGAGTGGAATTCTCCAGCAGAAAACTCCCTGCATAAAATCCATGCACATCTTCATGAGCTACACTGAGTTACCTGACCGTACAGCTGACCACAATCACAATCATCAAGAAGGATCAGCTGTGTTGTCCACATTCATTCATTTTTCCAAGGAGTTAATGGAAAACTTCAGTGAACAACTTGCTGTTTTCTATCCATATATACTATAACACATTATTTGCTAACATTCTGACAAAAGAAGGTTAAGAGCTGAAGAGAATAGGCAAAAACTGTTCATTCCCACAGTTCACTAATTCTGTTTCATGGGAGCTTTGCTAATCTATCATTTAATTCCTCTATCTACATTTTTTGTCCCCTGTTCTTACACCTACTGACAAGGTTTTCAGAGAAATGACCATTTCTTTTTCCCATCTTTCCATGATGCACTTCAGAGAAGGTTCTGATAAACAGCCTTCATGAACTACAAAGGTTCAGCAGCGGAAATATAATAAGGCAGTAATATCAGCTGATATTCTACAAAGGAGTGGCAAATCAGCTTTCTAGCACCCTGCAAATTATTTTTTTTCCAAAGGTGGTGACATGCACATACTTTATCTCTAAGCAGAAGCTAGACAGAGATATTCTCTTCCAGATGCAACTCCTGTCTCTCTGTATCCAAGACAGACAGTGTTTTCACAGTAATTCAATTTCATGAGCTATATACATGTGAAACACCTAAATCATTCATATATATATTTATATTGGTACCCAGAAGTGTTCAGAACAGGATCATTAGGCCACTTCACCACAGAACTATTTTTTATGATTGAAAATAGATGTTGAACACTTTTATACATAGATGGTCACAAGAAAGGATGCATGACAACCAGTCCACAAACATGAAATACATAAGCAGGAAGTGGGAGAAGAAGCTGAACTCAGAAAGATGACAGGACAAAACATAACATCTTGAGAGAAACAGAAAACTCTTTATGAAGGCTTTCACTTGACAAGTCAGTATTGGAATGGACTTTAAAGCAGATAATACTTGTTTTTACTGTTAAAATTTTACACAGCCCTATATTTTGGCTCAAAAAAACATTCAGCATTTGTAACAACAATTAAAATTACTTCCCACTTTCAACAAGATTGCAGTTTGCCATGCCACCTTCAAAGTAAAAGTACTGAATTGACTATTATTAAAAATCATAAAGAATTCAGATCTTGATTTCTGGATCTACTACTCAGTCGTAATACCAGTTCAACTGAGGCCAGGTTTCTTGTATGGAGACAGCATCACTGTTTCATGAACCACCAGTAATCTTTGGAAGACACTAGAAAAAGCAGGCACATTCATTCCCTTCCATTGATTTTCTAATTTTGAGTAAATTGGTTTAATCTGGGGAATGGTTATCTATTAGGAATAAAAATACCTAAAGTGACTTTAGAAAACAGAATGAAACTTTTGAACAGAAAAAAAAAATGAAGGGAAACTTGAGGCAAAGAGGTGGTGATTACATACTAAATTTTGGCATGGGTCTGTAGCCAGCCACACAAATATGAAAGAAATGAAATCCCTCTGAACTTAGAAGAGAGATCAACAGGCCCTGAGCTCAGTTTTACTGCAACTTGTGTCTGTAATACGTCTATTTTACCCAAGAACTGTCTCATTCTGAAAAAACTTCCAGAAAAATCACTCACCTAAAACATATGAGCATCACTTTCATATAGTCAAAATAAGAAATAGCATGCTGAACACAGGGAGCATTCAATAATCCTGTACCTAACCAACTTAAAAGACAAGTGCTGTAAATCAGCACATACGATCAAAATGCAGGAAGGTTGATGAACAAAGAGTTCAGGTCTTTGAATTTCCTTGGTGCAGACTGCAAGACTCCTGGTCACCTCCAGGACCTTAAGAGCACACAGGCCTATATAATTAAGAGAACTGCTGATTTACAGAGTAACTATTGAGGTCATAATTGTGTTGTTGTCCAGATCTCATACATTCTGATAACTACTAGTTCATTCTCTTAACCTAAAGTGATTATACCTACATCTTCTTTGCCACCGGTTCACACTCTTGTAATGTTAATGACTGGTAATCAATGTGGACTTTGGCACTACGCTGTTTCATCTCAAAACTACATGCAGATTGTCCGCCCCTTTATTATTCCCTTCTTGCACATCCAAAGCATACTGAGTATGGAGTACTACATCAATTATTCCACTAAGTCCTCTCGATACAAACAAACTTCTGGAAGAGTCTTTAAAGCACCAACCTGTAACAGTCTCATAGCAAGCCATACATACAATTAAGCCTTTTATTTCTTCTGTTGTCAAATAATTGGTGACTCAGGGTTAACCTTATTTTTTGGATCTTTGTTCTCATCAGCTGTATAATCAACGAATACACAGATGTTATAATTACAAAATATATAAGATAGTTTATTATTCCAAAAGGTTATTATACCAAAAATGAATAGATAGAGTGCTTACCCTTGTCCTGGCCTCGCTGTAAAACTCCAAAGGAGGGATCTCCAGAAAGAGATCCTTCCCCACTGGTAGTCAGCTCTCAAATGGGTCTAGGAGAGGTGCAGCCAGGCTCCACCCCTTCCAGCAGCACAGGTGAATTGCCTTCAGCTGTGCTCCCAGGGCTGACTCATTGCTCACCTGAGGTATCAATCAGAGGTCCAGGCTGTGATTCAGCAGTTCCCATGCATCAGTCAACACTAAATGTCTCGCCCAGCACTGAAGAACCATTAGATTTATAAATAGTGATCACAGCATGCAACTTCTTTCACCAAAATAAGAAATAAAAAGAGCACTATGAAAGACCCCTCACAGCTGAGCATCCAAACTTCCTCCCTGAATACTCTGTCAATTCACAAAAGGTTATGAGCACAAACAATAAGATGCCATCTCGTGATAGGAAACTTACCTCGCGATCCAGCAGTACAGGTGACACCACTGTGACAATATCTCCCTTTTCTGGGTCAATATAGAACATATTTGGGGAAGGTTTGGTAGGTGTCTGTTTGAGGATGTTATACCGCAGAAGAGCGTTGTCTGTGCTAGCATCATCAGCATCAAATGCTGTCATCCGCATCACAGTTGTTCCTAAGGGAAAGGTGGACAGACAACAGAATGCAGTTAGGAAGCACATTTCTTATGCTACTTTCAAACACAAAAACCAGACGAGTACATAACAACCATCTCATCAGGGCCAGGAAGTAGCTTCATGTGATACTTCGTAATTCCATTCTTCCTATTTTTACTTGCTGCTGAGCTAACAACAAAAAGTAATCTTCCTGGTTTGCAGCAAACAAATGACTCACTTAAATATCCCATATTTGAGTACTTTGTTGCTGCCCACATAAGGAACATCACTAAAGGATCTTCCATGCTTTAAATTCTTCGGGCAAAAAGTCTACAGGATCTCCTGGTGAAGGTGCTGAAGCAATGCTGAAATAACAGAAAGGTTTCTGTTTGCAGCTTGTGCAGTTTTGCACTGTTTCAAAATTGGTTGGACGTTTTAAGGCTTCTGCCAATATGACAAATTTTTATCATGACTAAAGCTCACAGAATTCTAATTTGAACATACTCCTGGGCTTACTGCACCACTCTGAACACTCTATTGCTCAGCCATCTTCAGCGCTGAAGTTGTTTTTATTACGAAAATCCTATACCATGCAGTTCTGCTATAGAGAGCAACAGGGTGAATGCCACTGATTGCACAGAATCTTAAATGATTTAAAGAGAAAAAAAAAAACATTCTTCTACACCATGGTTAATACAGAGACAACTGAGAAGCTGCAAATATTGTTAACTAGTGGAGTACATACTCCCACATCGCAAGATCAAATCTTATCTTCTCTCTTGCACAGGCACACCAGAGGTGACAGAGTTTTATTCAAGCATCTTTTATTTGCTTTGTGTTGTGGGAAGCAAAGAAAGGAAGTAATTAGACAGCAGGGCTGAACCCTGCAATATTCACCCCTAGACCATTATAATTTTTTAATCAGTTGATCTATAAGTATAAACATAACAGGTTTTATGTTCATTTTTAAATCTAATTAGAAGCAACATATATTCACACCAAAACTGAAGTGTTTCTTTCAGGCAGCATTGGCCCAAACAAAGAATAAAATCCTAATGAACAAAAAAGTCATGATGAAATCAACGAACTGGTTTCAACAGTGAATGAAGTAAAGCAAAAAGTTAATGCAAAAGACACCAGTAAACCATATACAAATATAGGAAGGGTAAGGAAGTATTCACTCTTTTGCCTAAAAATCTCAACCAATTAATCAATTCCATCAACTATCCAATTCCCATTTAAGTACCTTAGCACTGAAAAAATATCATTTAACACATGTACCACAATGTCAAAGTTAATTATAATTCTTTGTTAGAGTTCAAGTCTTCTGTATTAGCTAACTTGCTTTTCCCCACTGACTTTCAGTAGACAACTATATCTTAAAAATATCACAATGAAAACAACGTCAAATACATAATTTTCATTTCAAATGTAATGAAATACGGCGGTAAAGAGACAGAAAAAAAAAAAAAACCTAAAACAATTTCCTCACTCAGTGTTAAACAAAACTGTCATGCTTAGATACGTTTCTTTTTCGCTTTTTTTGGTGTGTACTTCTTTGAGTACAAAGTATTGGCTCTTGTAGTGACCTTGAGTATAAGCTCTCAAAGGTTTTGCTTCATTGCTACGTCAGGCAGAGCTACCCCTAGAGAAATAGAACAAATCTGACAGCATGTTGGTTTTATTCACCAGTGATTAAAGGTCAGACAGCTCAAAAAGAAGCTTGCCACTGGATGCCATGCCATGTTTTCCAATATTACAAGATGACTCTCGCCCTGATATTTTCAACTACTTTGTTTGAGACTTCTTCAAAAGAAAAAAAAACCAACATCTTTCTATTTTGAAAGAAGAGTATTCATCTCTTTTTACAAGAATTGGGAACTTCTGACACATGAATGTGTTTTTTTTTCTTTCAAATGTATTTATTGCATTTGGAGACGATTATTTATTTTCATGTTAGATAGCCTTTTTCACAAAAGTCTCCTGAGTCACAAGACCTCAGTGAAATAAATAAGAATAAAGACAGATCTTCAAGGGTTATAAAAGAGTGCTCAAATATAAGTGAAATTCAATGATATCTGGGATAGCTTCTCAAGAAGCATAATTTAATGGGATGCTATGCTCTTCAAGTACATTAGATGATATTTTAAATAAATTCCTACTATTCCTACTATTATTAATCTACTGTATGAGATATTCAGCAGAGATTTAGAATGTGATTGAAATTACACCCTCAGGTGGAAATCTTATTTACACAGTCGTTCTAGTCAGTTATACTGAAATATTTCTAATGATAAGGCTGCACATACAGACTTTAAAATCTGATGCAAATCCACAGATCTCTAGTTACTCTGGCATGAAACTGGCTTGATACAGTGGCTGAATACAATTCTGATTTGCCAGCTGAAGTTCTTCAACCTTTCTATTCACTGGACATTATCTGCTGCGTAACCATTCCTTTGCTGCAGAGGGATAAAAAAAAAAATAAATCCAGCAACTCAAAAGACCTGGCTTTTACATCACTTTACATAGACATGCTAGCTCCAGTAGGAAAGTAGATAATTAGTTCCACTTGTTTCTATCTTGCCTCTAAGGTTTGGAGATATTAGTATCTAGCTAACCATCAAGGTGGCAGATGTGCTTAAGTAAAAGTTATTCTGTTCTCACAAGTTCACATAACAGATGTAAAAATGCATATAGAACTTCTTGTTAGATGTCATTATGTATTATTACAGTCTGTATAAGATTGTATCTGTTTTTGGTTCATGAACATCAGCACAAAAAAATTACAACTCTTTAAACATCACTTACATGACTTCGTCACTCCAATAACTGAAGTCAAATAGTGCTGCTACGAACAGAAAGGAGACCTTGCACTGAGCTGACAAATGGTACTCTGCTTCTACAGCCGTGCTGAGAATGGCTTCTATTCGGACACATCCTTCTTGCAGCCTTGTTCTCATAAGCATGCTTGCAAACTAACTGGAATTCACTGCCGTCCATTTATTTCAAAGCATAGCAGTACATACTTAATTACATCAAAACAAATCTCTCTCATATGCAACAATTAGAATGGTTTGGCACCTCAAAAAAAAAAAAAAAAAAAAAAAAAAGTAATAATCACAGCAGCTTTAAACCAGGAATTAAAGCGTATTCCAAGGACCTTGTGTAGAAATCTGACAACTGTATTTCCAAGTAGGAACTCGACTATACCTGTTAGGGTATTCATGGAGAGTGCACTTGACCATACGTTTTAGGATGGGCCACCACAAAGACTACGTTAAGAGATCTGGATCCCTGAAAATGCAGCTGCACTAACTTTTATTTTAAAAGGCTCTGCAACATATATCCGGTCCAAAAGTGTTTAAATCAAGATGCATGCTTCCTCAGTATTACTTCTTCATCATAAAGTTTTATTCTTCATAAAAGATTCATTTCCCCAGACCCATAAACTGACTACTTCTAATTCAGTGTCATTTTATAAATACTTCCATTCCTGGCATCAATCAAACGCAGCTGGCTTTCAAACCACAAAACAACAGCTTGCTACATTATCATGTTAAACAATATATATTAACTTATCAAGCTGAGGAACAAACGTCTGCAAAATCAGCAACTTTTGAGTTCTGCTGATGACGTGCAGATATTCACTGAGGCAGTCTCTCCCAAAAAAGGTACAGTTATTCCATGGCGTTTCAATATTCACGCTTTATTTGTCACACCCTCTGGGCAGTTTAACTATTACTATAATCTCTCAAATCCTCTGCTTGCACCTCCGTGTTCCTCATCGATCCAGCACGTGTTCCACTAGACAAGTCGTTGTTTCAAATACTGCAGCTATCAATCTGTTGATTGCACTTTTGGCCTGTAAGTCGGCTTGGAAGTATTGGCAAAAACCTCCCCTTAGGCATTAAGACGTAAAGCAAAATGCTTGCACAATTTTGTGGTGATTGGAGCAGATGGTTTCTGGAGAAAAGTTGTTGTTTTACTGCTTAACCTTTCTTTTTCCTTTCCTGTCCCTCCACCACCCCACTGTTTTTTTTTTTTCTTTTTCTTTTTTCTTTTTTTTTTTCATAATTTGTTTTCGTATTCAGCCGCCAGGCTGACTGAGGACTTTGTGCCCAATTCCTTTTGCGGTTTTTACACAGTGGGCAACTACATCCTATTCCCACTCAGCTGATGAAGCAGTAGGTTTTGTCATTCATAATTGAGTGCTATACCAATACACACTGTACTCAGAGCTATGGTTTTTGTGGGGTGTTACACAGCAATGCAGTCATTTCTTACTTCTGTTTTTCAACATGACTTATTGAACGTTTACCGAGGAGTTACTTTCAAAGGTCTTATCTGGCAAAACACAGGGATTTGTAACTTTTTCACACTGTTCAGATGAATGTCTTCTGTTATTTCTCTCTGTATTTAAGTGCAATTTACTGTGACTAAAAACGAAGAATTTACAAAAAGGCCTGGAATATGTGGACAACTATCTTAGAAGATGATTGCCAAAATACTAACCTTAAAATATCATCCAATTTAAGAACTGAAAGGTTTTATCAGAATTACAGGGCTAAAAATCTTCAGACTATTGAGTTACATTGGTTTTGTGTCTCACTGTATGTTCAGTTCACTAAATGTCTTATACATGTACTACAAAAAGAAAAATGTCTGACTTCATAATTAACATGATCAGTTTGCTGAATTCTAAATACAATTTCTTAAAAAAGTTCAGATGTGCCTCTGTAAATCAAAAATAATCAGTTGCACAGCAGTATACTTCTAAGAAATAAAGCTATTTTAACCCAAGAAGGAGATCAGAGAATAAGAAATGAGAAGAAAAAGCAAGAAAACGAGAAGGTTCTTAGCATCTCTAAAGCACTTTACGTCTATTGCTGTAGAAATAAACCCAACAACTTTAGAACGTGAAGCAAAGGAGAAGAGCCTCCTGACTCCTACACCTATCATAAGTAATTATGTTTGACTGTCATTTTGTACTTTAAAGACAACAAGCCCCAGGGAAGCA